TAACGTATGGCCTTTGCTCAGACAGTATACGAACAGGTGACGGGGATACCTCCCATAGAAGGATGCGACACGATTTTACTGCTAAATAGCGGCCGGCCGCCGTGGGGACGTTTTTGTACGACTTATATCTCGGCAACCACTGGGCTGATACACGTGCGGTTTTTTGTGTGGGGTAGCTTTTTCCCTTCTTTCACATAGTGTGCTACTCTCGATGCATATGGGTGACCCCTAACGCACGTTCCACGTGCAAAGCCAAGAGGTGCCTGTTTTGTAATAAGCGCAATAGCTCGCGGTAATTACTGGGCCGATTGCGCTAAAACTTGGCATGGAGGTAGACACTTTCCAGGCGATGCATTTCCATGTGTCTTGGTAGGGGTGCAACTGCACGTGCGCACGTGCAGGGTGACGCTTCCAGATCTCGAGAACGGCTGGACCGATTGTGTTCAAATTTGGCATAACGCTTGATACCGATCAGTAGGTTGCAGTCATTTAGTATGTATTTCCATGTGCCACGATTGGGGTGCAACTGCACGTGCGCACGTGCAGGGTGACGCTTCCAGATCTCGAGAACGGCCGGGCCGATTGAGTTCAAATTTGGTACACCGCTAGAGACCGATTAGTAGGGTGCCGACTGCCGTGCGCAAGTCAGTTTGGACCCATCTTGCACGTGCGCACGTGCAGGGTGACGCTTCCAGATCTCAAGAACGGCTGGACCGATTGCACTCAAATTCGGCAAACATCTAGAGATCGATCAGTAGGGTGCCGTGCACAAGTCAGTTAGTATGTGTTTCCATGTGTCACGGTTGAGATGCAACTGCACGTGCGCACGTGGAGGGGTCGTTTCAAGATCTTGAAAACGGCTGGGCCGATTGAGCTCGAATTTGGTACACCGCTAGAGACCGGCGAATAGGGTCCCATGCACAATGCAATTGGACACAGCTTGCACGTGCGCACGTGCAGGGTGACGCTTCCAGATCTCGAAAATGGCCGAGCCGATTACACTCAAATTTGGCACACCGCTATAGATCAGCGAGTAGGGTGCCGTGCACGTCAGTTTGTAGCACACCGACTCCGGTCTACACGTGCAAGGCTCATCCTCTCGTTTGGCGGCGGGCGTTTTTGCTGCGTTTACAAAGGTGCTTGCTCAAACAACCTGCGGTCCCGCGATGCGGAGCCCAGCATCGCAGATGCTGGTACGCGGCTGCGGAGCGCGGATGGTCGATCCAGACGACCCCAGCCGTTCGACTTTTGTGAACCCGACGGTCAACGGATATACAAATTCCTTGCATCGGCACTAAACGGGTCAAGCTGTTGAGTCGAATCTCTGGTTTTCTGTGAAACGGCGGCGGGCGGCTCTATGCTGTCCCCAGCGGGGTGAGCGGCCTCCTCAGATGTGAAGGGCCCGGCTGATGGCCGGCTCGGCGGCCACTGGGAGCTGTTCGGGCGCGCCCGCGATTAGATTTCAGCTCGGCTGGCGCCGTTATGTCGCTCTGATTTGGCAGAAAGGTCGGTCGTGCGCTTTTTGAGCGGATCGCTGTCGCCGGCTGGCAGCGCTCGGCCAGATGGGTGGTTTTGATGCTAACAAGTGTAGACATCTGTCGCAGCTCTGCATCCCCGAGCCTGATTTACTGACCAAGCTCGTTATCGTTTTTCTGTCCTTCTCACTGTCGTCAGCCTTTCGTCTTTCTGCGGTGGCTGTGTTCGGCAGCTGCCCCGGCTGGGGGAGGAGGGAGGGGCGCCCCGGCTGGGGGAGGGGCGGTGAGGAGGGGGACCGACTGTTTCCCGGGGCAGAGTCGTTAATAATGAGCGTCGGCGCCAGCAGTGATCCCTGGATCACCATACAAATAACGGCGTGCATGCCGAACAGCGGCAGAGCGATCACTGCCGGAGACGGGATCAGCGCCGAGAGAGCAGGGAGAGAGGGGGCGGAAATGGAGGGTGCCCACACAGCGTGAAGCCGTCTGTAAACATCAGCAAGGTGATATGCATATTGGATATTCATTGACGATGAATACAAGGAAAATGATGTTTTCTCAAGGCGGCGGTGAGCTGATCGCGTGTAAGAACAAAGTGCATTTGGAGAGAGTTTTGGCCTCATGAAAAAAGTATTTTTGCTTGTCTTTTACCTCCTCTCACATTTCTTCTCTGTGCTCTCCGTTTATCTCTGCTGGTTTGTCTCGGTACGTCTCCGTCTGCCCCGGTCCGAGTCTGGTGCGCCGTGCTGCCGCCGGCAATAGATGATTGTCCCTCGGGCGGGCGACGGCCCTGACCCTCCGGCCGGCCCGGTCCGGCCCGGCGCGGTCTGGCCCTCTCATCCCGCCCGGACCGGCCCGGTCCAGAACAGAACATAGCCGGCCGGCCAGTGACGGACGGCAGCCGGTATCGACAAAGAGGGTGAAGGAGCCGGCTGTCAGGAGCTGTGGAGTTTTTGTCCCGGAATGTAGAGAGAACTGACGGTCTGTCGTGAGTGAGGAGGGGTGAAAGAGAAAGGGATGTAGAGGCAGAGAGAAGGTGGAAGGATGGATGAAGAGAGCAAGAGCTTGAAGTTAAGAAGTGATGAAGTAGGAAAGGGAGAAATGGTGGCAAGAATAGGGACAAGGTCAGATGCATAGTCGGCTGCGATTGACGGACCGAGGGAGAAAGAGGAAGGAGGCGGGAGTCGAGGTCGGGCGCGGAGTCGGGGGTAGACCGGGGAGGGGGGCCTTTGGTATCGACCGGCACTGAATGATGGCCAGCTGTGTGGCCGGAGCCTGTCCAACGCAGACGCTCACAGACATACGCACACACGCATGTACACAGTCACACAAGCATACACACACGCACACGCACTTATTGGTCGACTTTTTGTCACATGACCTGTATCTTCTCACGTTGTGGTCAACGATTGATTGAGTGACCAATCATCTATCGTCTCTCTCCTATCCAAGCTCACTCCTCAGTGCCCACTGATAGGTTTACAATATTGTGGCATCGTATTGTATGGCTAACGGCCACCTAGTAAACAGAGATACCCGATAAAGACCAGCTGGTAATCTATCAAAGCGCACTACCGCCCGCCCGATATACGTCCCGCGGTGTCGATAATAATTACCGCGTGTTGTGTACGGCCGCACGCAGCATTGTTAGTACATGGATAATGGCAGACAGCTTTATTTGGCGACCATGGCCGGGGCGGGGGCGGCCGAGGACGGGGGCGGGGGCGGGCTGATCGGCCAGTCCGGTCGGCGTGTTTCCGCAGACAGCTACCGCCACTGTCCGACTGACAGTGACAGCGGCACCGCTGTGGTACTGTCGACGTTTGTCGGGTACAACATCGCCGACTGGTTATTTTTGGACGGCACACGCCAGGGCACTGTACTTGACCTCTGACGTGTCGCTGGGGACGGGGGCGTGGCCGTTGAAAACTCCTCGCATGTGTCTCGAGGTCACCGAGAAAAAACATCCGTGTCATTTTCATCATCGCTCACCGGCCCCGCCAGCTGTCACGTTTAGTCACGCCACCTCCTGTACACTTCTGGCGCACCGGGGACATTCTGCCGCGCGGCATTCCCTCTCAGCGCGGCGCCCCCTCTCAGCGCGGCACCCCTCCCGCAGGTGGTGGGTGGGTCTGAGGGCAGAGCCGGGGGAGGGTGCCCCGAGGGCGCGCCAAATAGGCCTGGCCGGTCGCCAGTGGCGCGCCACTGTGTTTATGGGTCTCTCAGCTCTCAGAGAGTGGCGTCTGTCGCTGATGGGACGTGGCCCGGACCGTTACTGTCAGACGGTACCCGGCCCCTGAACGTACCCAGCCCTCTGCAGGTGGACTGCGGGAGGGGCGTCTGCAGCCGATGGGATGTCCATCCACCCTTTTTTGGTGCAACTGGTACTGTCCACTGTCCAGCCTTGATCTGTCTGTGCCACAAACTGCAGTCCCACAAAAAGTGTCCAGCCAGACAACATGGATCCGCTCCATGTTCCGCGTTCCCCTCGGTCTGTCGAACATATCATCTCCTCGCTCGGACCCACTCCCCGACCCGTCTCCGGACCGCCTGCTACCCTCGTCCTCGGCGGCCGGCCGAGATGACCTCGAGCCGGGGCGTCGCGGAGTCGCGGGTCGCGGGCCGGCCGGGGTCGTTACTGGAGCTGTCTGCAGCTGCCTCGTGCCGACAGCGGCCGGTGACGGCGGACAGTCGCTCCGGGCCAATGTCAGACGGCCGGCGACATGTCACCACCGCCGTGTGGCCGTCCTCCTCCCGGCGAGACGGGCTCGGCGATCGGGCTAGACAGGGACTGGACAGTCGGGCGGTCCAACCCACCAGTCTCCGGTCTCGGCTGGGTCGAAGGAGCAGTCTGTTGCGACCGTAGACTTTGAGCCTTGTGGAGAAGAGCGACACGGGACCTCGGAGAGGCGGGCTGGATGTTGGGAGGGATTTAAGATGCCTTACTGACAGAAATAGGCTTGACGGACAGAGTTTGACGAGCGATGTTGGGATTTCTGGGTGATTGAAGTCGGTTTCCCAAAATCAGTTTTGTCACCTCGTAGTCTGATCCAGTTGATGTCTGGGTCTCGGCGTATCATGATTAACTACATGAATGTTTACCGTCATCCCATATAACTGACTGTTGCATTGACCCATTGCATCGCTAGTAATAAATAGTATTCACATTTTTATATTTCGTTTTATCCTTACCCAATAGATTCACCATTGTAGCAAATCTAAGCACATCGTGTATGACTGCATAACTAAAGCCACTCGTGCCTGAGCTGAGCTGCGTTCTAACGCCTGCCTGTTCGGCTGTGCCCGTGTTGCCGCTCTAAGGTGCCGGTGTGTTCGTGGCTGTACACTGGCGCTCTGTCTCACGTATTGCCTGTCCAAACTGACGCTCTGGCTCTCTGAGCGCGTCTTTGTGTGTCTGTCTGTTCTGCGTTTACCTCAGCCGCGGCCTCGCTACTGCGTGTGCGTGCGTGTTTGCCTTTTGTGCGTGTGTGTTAATTTTACGCAATGTTTTGTTTTTTGTTGTAGATGTCGACGACTCAGACGTAGATCCGCAGAACGCGTCCCAGTCTAAGAAGTCGAGCCTCGGGTCAGTGGGCAGAAAGTCGCAGCGCAAGGTGCCCAAGCGGCTGGAGGTATGTTCGTGTCTGGCCGCGCGCTGCCAGAGGTCGCTGACTAGAACAGAGCCGCCGCCGGCCGGCCCCGGCTCCCGCGGGAGGCTGTTTGCCGAGAGCTATCCCGGGATATGGTATTTGCAGGGTCAGCGTGCTGCGGCCCCTAGCTCGGTAGTGCTCTCCGTCTGTGGGTATTTTTAGTTTATCTTTAGCTAGAGATGCGGCTGATAGTATCAGACAGTGGGTAATTCGTGGTTGTAGCACATGACAAAACGCTCTGTTTAAACTACCACCGAGCGGAAACCCTTAACTAATTGTCGTTGTGTAGCGTTTATTGCCATTAAAACGTTCGCTGCTGGTAATTTCTGAGTTATCCCGATTGTCGAGATTTGGGCAATATAAAGTTGGTCGCTTAAAATTAAAAGGCGTAAAGCTCACTTTTTATACCAGCCTTACCTGGTATTACTTTCATCACGGGGCACCAGAACCTGTATTTTTTACTTAATTTTAGCGCTAAGGGGTCGACAAATTAACTTAATTTTGCGTTATAGCTTATTTTGTGTGAATTTTCCCCGTGTTAGTGTTTGTCACTTTTGCTTCATGTGTGTGTCCCCACGCGCCTCACTACCGGGCGTGTTTTGCCTTCTAACTCGTCCGATATAAGGGTGTTCGCACAGCTGAATAAGAAATACGTTCATTACCTACTGAACTCATAATCGAAGTCGAATGGAAGACTGAATCTTTCATACTAAGATGTTTCATTAAGCTTTTTTGTTGACTCGTATAAATATAACCCAAAGGGATATTTTCGGCTATTTTCGCGCACCCTCAGTCAGCTGTGCGGACACACCTCCCCCCGTATCGCACTGACGGCATGCCGTGTGCCGTGGCCGCCGACTAACCCACCCGCCCGTCCGCACGGCGCCGCCGCTCTCCCTAGGTGAGTGCCAACGTCTCCGGATGCCAGATGAGCGGCTACCTGCAGCGGCGCACGCGCCAAAAGTGGAAACGCTTCTGGTTCGTGCTGCGTGATAGTGTTCTCTACATGTACCGGGCCTCGCAGGACGTGGTGGCTATGGACAGCCTGCCGGTACTCGGCTACAAAGTGCAGCCCCTGGCCAATGTAAGAGCGGGGAGAGTGCGCACGCTGCGAGCGCTGACAGTCAGCGGGAGGGTAGAACAGGGGATATCGGGTACTGTTGGAGTGGGGTGGCGGTGGTGTGGTGTTGGTGAGCTTAGGTGTATAGTTATACCCATTGTTCATGTAAGACTTGCCTTCCAATTTGAGTTACTTTGAATCTGGCCATTCTGGCTCAGACTTCGGGAATCATGAGGCTAAGATGCATCCGTTTGATACCTTTTCACCAGATTCCAGGAGCTTTGCTCTGACATTGCTTAGATACTTATATTCGACATTTACGAAGCTGACGAGAATAATATCATTCAACTTCTTACGAACCGATGCGCGATAATTTGGTGTCTAATTGGATGAGACTGCGCAATGAGCCTCACAATGGGGCACGGCCCTGTCGCGTGCTCGTTCTCCTGTCACGTTTATGCAAATGGCGAGTTCATTGTCGGCAGGCGTGCCTCTGGGCCATAACTCTCTCTGGGTCACAGTTGGGTCGGCCCACTTATTGATTGATGAGCATGGCTCGTAACTTGGTGCGTATCGAATCGGACGTCGGGGCGCATAGCTCAGTTATGCTGAACAGCGCTACGGCTGATGTCAAAGTTATTGTCCATTTCGGCGATGCGTTCTTGCAGCATTGGCCACTGAAACGCTGGATGCATAGTTAAGCAGTGTTTCCGACATATCGCGCTAAAAATCGTGCCGCGGTAGGCTCCCACACACTGGCTGCCCGGGTGACGGAGTGTCGCCAATCAAAAAGTGTCGGACATTACAGGGGCCACCACATTCTTTCAACCACGCCCAAAGGCGTTAATGGAAAATGACAATTTAACCCTCGCCGGCCGAGGGGGGGGGGTGCCGCCCCCCCCCCCATAGGGTTTTTTCGCGATAGCTCCGAACACGCTGGCGATAGAGAGCTGAAACTTGGCATACCTGACCTTTGATCCAAGCCGCATCTTTTGACACCAACCGCATTTTTGGGTCAGGTCAGGTCACTGACCTATGACGTCATAAGTGAACCTCTGCACGGTCTTCAGATGTCGCAACTTCGCAACGCCCTCACTGCCAGAGGAGATGTCACAGGGAAATGAAACTTGCAGGATCTAGTATCCATTATGAGTCTCACAACTTGTATATCTCGGATTTTTCCTAAAGGTCATATGAGGTCAGGTCATTTTCGTGACCTCACCATTATAAGTCAATGGGGAAAAATTCAAACTGCTATTCTGGCGCCGGGAACGATCTCCAACTATCTCAAGCACACAGAATCGTGATTTGATGCACTCCTTGCAAGGTTAGATGCGTCATTTTTGCAATGTTGACCTTCCGTGACGTCATTTATGACGTCATCAAGGTCATATTAGTTTTTCGTCAATAACTCCCGATCAAATTGAGCTAGCGAGTCGGGAAAGCCACCAATGGACTCAGGAAGACCTGCCGAATCGAATGATATGCGACATGACCTCTTTCGACCAACTTCGTGACCTGGGGGTGCTGACCTGACCTTGACCTGAGGTCAACACCCCAAGTTGACCTGACCCGGACAAAAAGTATATCATTCGACGCGCCTGATCAAGGCGAACACGATGCTGCCAAAATCGCGGCTCTGCGGCCGTTTTTTGCGAAGTTATTCACCAAAAACTGAGCCGTACCCTGGGGCACTTGACCTGACCTCAGAGGTCACCGGTTGACCTAGGACCTTAAAATCGGGTACCAATCTCTGCGTCTCGTAACGGCGCACACGCTCGTTTTTTCCGCGACGCGCTAGCTCCACCAGGGGCGAAACGGCGAGGGGGGGTCGTACCCGCCCCCCCCCCCCCTCGGCCGGCGCGTATGTAGAAAACCAATAGGTCCGGCGAGGGTTAAAGCAGTATACTTTCGATGTGCCTATAGACGTCTTTTGTCAAAAACTGCCCTCAAAGGTTTAAATAGCGCAGATTACCTAACGTACCCAATCCAATTAAATCAACGACATCTACAATGCTAAAGCTAGCGAGGTGAACTTTAAAAAAAAACACACGATGACTTCTCGACCTAAGGTGTGTTCTGTTCATGCAAGCGAAGTGAGCGTCGGTCAGTGCCGTATGGTCCCGGACCTTCCCATCTCCTCCCCCTCCCTTTAGCGACGTTCTTTCTGACGGACCTTGACCTTCGCGCGGCCATTGGTCGTGGGTTCGAGTCAGGGTTCGAGTCGCTGCCGTACCGCCCACGTGCGACACTGAATGCCAGCACCGCCGCCCACAGAGGCACTTTTTATCTTTGGCTAACGACCAGTGCGCCGGCACGGCAGTGCGCAGCAGCTGATTGCATGCTTTAGTCCGAGACTGGCGGCTGGCCTAGGTCGTTATACAGGCTCTGAGATAAGGGTCAATTGAGGCATTGTGGCATTGTGCCAGATATAGAGTATTGCACTCTTGTTACACAAGTTAGGTCATTTGACGTTTGCTGTAGAGATCATTTTGTGAGCATTGATCACTTATAAAAAGATAAGCTAAATATAGCGACACTTCTATTTCTGTATTTTGGTCATTGTTACTAACCCACGAATAAGCTAGTAATGCTTCATGTCATAGCTGAAGTGCTCATGTCAACCGATCGTTTATTTGATGTGGTCGGTTACGCCTACAACTCTGCCAAATTACCGATTTTCCTTGTGGGCTATTGTGAAAAATTATGATCCTTCGTCCATGGTTAACTGCAAAGTCTCATGTTGCGTGATGCAATGTTCTATCTCAACGTCGTTTCGGCGTTTGACTTAGCTATTCCCTTTGTGGATCTAACGATGTGGAACTGTTCATGAACCTCTTATCAGCATTCTAGTGGCGATTATTGCCATACTTAATTCTTCATCCACGCAGGTAAAGATAAAACCTTTGTCCGTCCAATCTTCTTGTCAATAAATAAATTGATGGATGGTATGAAACCCTTGCTAAATACCAGTATAACGCCTTTTGGGGCGACTAACGGAGCGAGCGAGAGGGTGGGCCTTGCACGTGCGAAATTTCGAGGGGGTACCTCGGACCTCCAACTGACTTGTGCACGGCACCTTACTAACCGGTCTCTAGCGATGTGCCAAATTTGAGCACAATCGGCCCAGCGGTTCTCGAGATCTGGAAGCGGCACCCTGCACGTGCGCACGTGCAAAATGGGTCCCAACTGACTTGTGCACGGCACCCTACTAACGGGTCCCTAACCGTGTACCAAATTTGAACGCCATCGGTCCAGCCGTTCTCGAGATCTGGAAACGACCCCTGCACGTGCGCACGTGCAGCAGCACCCCAACTCTGGCACATGGATATGCAGTGCCTAGTGGGTGCCTACCTACATGCCAATTTTGAGCGCAATGGGCCAAGTAGTTACCGAGATATTGCAACAATTACAAAACTGACACCTCTTCGTTTTGCACGTGGCACTTGCATAAGGGGTCACCCACATGCATCGGAAATAGTCCAATACTTGGTAGAAGGAATGAAGCTACCCTACAAAAATTACCGCGTGTAAATCGGTCAAGTGGTTGCTGAGATGTAAGCCTCGCAAAAGCGTCCGCACGGCCGGCCGGCCGCTCATACTCAGAAATTTCCGTTAATCTAAGGAAAGACTACGCTCGCTTCGCTCGCTCCGTAATAAATAGTAACTAATCCGGTGCAGGAGCACGCCTGTTGGAAGGGAATCCTGTTGCGCACTTGGATCGCTAACAGAACGTCTGTTCTTGTAGAGCTGACACTAATCTTCTCCCTAAATACACCAGTCGCTGTGCTACGGACATTCTACAAGTCTCCCTATCATAAAAGCTGCAGCGGAAATTTCGGAAACATTTGTTATGGGGAGGTTTTCTCATATCTCGTTCAGCAAATATATAGCCGGATCCTAGCCCCTCCCCACCCCCCATGTGAGCTGATGCCCCTTACGATGAAGGGTTGTATCGTTCGCGTTCTCTCTTCTCTTGCATCTTCGCGGATTATGTTGCGAGTTCACCAACCAACATGTATATTGTATACAGTGCTCCTTGCAGACCAAGTTGAGTTCGCTATGACGCTTACTTTCAGATTCTCCGTTCCCATTCTCCCGAAAACTGTGAATGTTCTATCATAAAACGTCCCCCGTCTGTCTCTGCCTACACCCCAATATATCGTTCCTCCGTCTCTCTGCCTGAGCTGAAGGCACAATCATGTAATGTCCACCGTCTCTCTGCCCCCTGCCGAAGGTGCGGTCATATAACGTCCCCTTCTCTCTGCCCCCTGCCGAAGGTGCGGTCATCATAACGTCCCCCTGCCTCTCTGCCCCGAAGGTGCGGTCGTCATATGAGGGCGTGGACTCCGAGCTGGTGTTTCAGCTGGCCCACGACAATCAGCAGCCGCTGCTGTTCCACGCCGATAACCGCGCCCAGGCGGCCAAGTAGGTGACGCGCCGCCGCCGCTGGACACATCCCCCGGCCCAGTGGGTCCCTCTCAGGGTGGTTCAACTTGGGTGATGGGACGACGGGTGGGACTGCTAGGAAAGGTCAGGAATCGTTTGTATCTCTTGTGGTGTCTTTTGCCGGCTGATGAGCTAAGGCATTGCTCACATTGTACGCTAAAAATGCAATATTTCATCCCACCTGTTTGGTTGAAGCGTTCAGGCTTGACATTTAATCACACTGACAGCTGTTAGGTCGTGAACCATTCATTGCTTATCTAGTCTGTTTAGTGGACTTTGCACCTTTCGTCAGATTTTCTTCAGTTTACGAAATCCTCAGACTGCGCTTCCTCCCTCTCAAAGAACATCCCTTCTCTGCCAGAGTCGTGTCGTTGGCAGTTGAAATGTTGAACAGGTGATGCTTACACGTTTGGCAGCCGACTCCAGCACCTCTGACATTTATCCGTGTCCGCAGGTGGATTTCGACCCTTCAAGGAGCCACTATGCTCACCTAGCACCCTGGCGGGTGACGTCCGCCTTCATCGTAGCATCTGCATGTGTCGCGTCTTTCATCATTCATGTCATCCACTAATGTCGAGATCGCTCAACCACCGGCGGCGGCCATCTTGGAACAGGCGCTGTGGGCGGCCATCTTGGTGCAGGCCGCCGGCTAGTCAGACGTGCGTACACGGTGTGGCGGCCGCCCTCTTTGGAACTGACCGCGCGTCGGCTAGTCATAATCGCTTGCCCCGTGTTGCCACCAGTGCTGGTGTGTCGGCGAGAGTAGCGCGTGTGGTGTGCGAGTATCCGGCCCGATTTTAGGGCCCGTGTGTGACGCCTTAGCTGTTGAGCGAGGAGTATTTTATTTATCGGCGACCGCGCGAGCCCACCGGAGTACCGGCCTCGTGCGCTTCGCTCACCTGTTGTCTCAGTTTAACAATGTACCTTCGGCTGCGCGGGGGCCGCCCGGTACGCGGTCGCAGCGAGGCGCGCGGTACCCCGAGTACCCGTGTACCGGTACCTGACGCGCCGCCGGGACCGCGGCCGGGCGGGCCGCCTGGCGTGAGCTGTGACAGTGTTACGGATTGTTTGTCCCAGTCGAGTCGTAATACACTCAGACGGCGTGTCATAGGGAGTTTCTGCAGAGGTCGGCGCGGCGCCGGCTGGAGCGGCTTGAAAGCAGGAGAAATGACGTACTCACGGGAAAGTTATTGGCGCTGTTTCGTGCTTCGGGTCGGCGATATGCTTACTAGTCACGTTTCAAGATTATTGGTGAATCGGTTTCGGCCGAGTGGGATTGGTTGAAACGGCAGTTGGGGATGATATACTGGCTGTCGTTCTGGTGTATGTGAATGGATAGACCTCCGGTCTTTGGTTGCTGATCCCATCTTTTTCGGTTTTGGGCCACCGTTTTTTTCGGCTTGAGACTATGATAACCCTGACCCTGTGGCATTTCTGCTTGTTGATGCTGGCTCCCTCACGAGATACGATGAGAGCGGACCCGATCCTCCGGGGCACATTCCTCTGTATCTTCAGTGGCATTGTTCCAAAGTGATCATGACAGGCTCGATTGACGTTAGCCAAACAATCCGACTGAACAAAATTGCTCGGAATCTCTGGCACCGCTCGATGCTCGGTCGCTGAGCCTCTCTCTCGCGGGGGTTCGCTGACTGACCAGGTCACCTCCAGTAGACGTCGGTCCGGGGTGACCGAACTGACCGCGCAGAGGGGCGGCGTCGGCCCCGGTCTCGAGCCGAGCAGGCGATTGACCGTTCCCCGGGGGTCGTAAATCCACGGCGCCGAGCGGCCGCCCGCCGCCGCCCGCGGCTCGCCGTGCGCCACCGCGCGCGGACCGAACGGTTACCGGGCGGATTTAAATGAATCGATAGCCGGCCCATTCGGAAAAGTGACTTTCGGAACCCGGCTCCGGAAGCGGAGCTGCTCGCTGGCTGGTGTAAGACGACCTGTGCCCGCCCCGGTGGGGGAGCTCACTCACTCGAGCGATCTGAGGACCCCGCGAACAGTTTGTTTTCGCCGCCGAGACGAATCGCCCGCCGGCGCTGTCGTTGGCCCTTGTTGGCTCGATTCGAGTCCGGGCGAGGTCGCCGAGTTCAGCGGGCGTTTGATGGACGTCTCCAGCTGGGTGGGGTGGGGGTAGGACCTGTTAGACAGTGTCACCTCACTCTAAGGTGGCTTCCGAGTCCAGCGTCGCTCGTGTATGTCGTGGGTTTGAGAAAAGTGAGCACGCTGCGTCACTGTTGCGCCATAGACCAAGTAGAGTAGAGCTCTGGCGAGGCGGTAGCCCCCCCCCCCCCCCTCCTCCGTATTTCGTCGGGCGGGGCATAGAGATCGCACTGCACCCATATAGGGGAGAGTGGTGCAGGAGGCCCCCCCTTAAGCTCAGTTGCTATTTTTAGACAACTGATAATATTTAAGAGCTAACGTGTGCATGCGCTGTGAGCATGCATCATTTTCCCATACATATTTGCATTCAAAATGAATCTAGGGGGTACACAAACCGTAAACTTTAACATTTTGGAAAAAGTTGCAAAAGGGCCTCTTACACTATGGGTATGGTAAGACGCCCCCCCCCCTCGGGCGTTTAACAAGGCAAGTCGACTTGTAAAAGACGTTTTGCGAACACAGCTGCAAGGCCTTTTATTTCGAAAAGCTAAGCAAATACGGTGTTATCGAAACCAATAACACTTCCAAAGCGCTCGAACAATGCGAAAACTAGCACAACCAAACGCTGATGACCAACGAAAATTGTACCTATTACCTCTAGAAAAAGAAACAGAAAAAAAGAAACAAAAACAAACTCCTTGAAAAAAGAATGCCACGCCTGCCGCAGGTGCAGGCGTTTTAGCATCGGGGGCGTTTTTTATCGGGGGGGCGTTTTATAATCCTCGAAGGGAGGGCCTCTTAAAAAAATGCAGTGTTTTAACGTCACAATATTTATGGTTTATGAGACATTTGCAGCGCACCAGAACATGGTCTATTCTGAAGCTAACATGTGACAATTTCGATGAGATAAGATTGCATTTGATAGTCATTGTTTTTTCAGATATATAAGGGTGATAAAGATGCATATATCTAGCAAGTAAAGGGGCAAAAACAGAAACAGGCTTACCAAAAGTCGCTGCGACGCACCTGATACCTCAGGTTTCGTGAGTTGTTGTTTCAAGAGGGCTTCTGCTTTACAAGAACATTAAAAAATAAATAACATTATTGGTTTGGTAAAAAAAGCGATGGGGCCTCTTACCGACCCTGGGCGTCTTACACGGATCTCCCCTACCGCGTGGAGTAGGTACAGTTCCGGCGAGGTGGTGGCTCCCCCAGTGGGTGTTCGCCACAGGTGCACCACACTCCGTCGATTGGCTCCCCCTCAGCTCGTTACCGTCAACTAGTGTTACACGGTGCACTGTAGGCACAAACGTGGGGGAGTAGTTGAGTGACATCAGATGTGGAGAAAGATAGTCGACATGGAGGACTTTGTCACACGTTCTACCAGCACCTGCGAATGACACCTGTGACGTGACGGGTGGGTGACAGTGACGCTGACGACGCATCAGTGACGCAGTAACAACACGTTAATGACGTACTAACGACACCCTGGTGCCACAGTGTGACATGCGTAAATGAGCGACAATTAGATGCCGTCGTGAGCTGCGGTGACGTCATTTCCACCCACGCTGGCGAGTCTGCTCAGAGACTGCGCGGATGAATTAATCGGGGTGTGCCACTGACGACATGGATGACGTCATTCCTGAGAAAGGCTATCGTTTTTCACAGTCATGACGTCATTCTTGGCAGGAGAACACCGACGGGAGCATGGCTAATGCTAGTCAGTGATGTTTTATGCAGCTTCATTATCGTCTAAATCGGTAGCGAGGGTAAATCGCACGCCAGATAGCTCCATTTTCGTTTTGGAACATGAATACTAGCCCCGCACTACACGAGCGCCTGATCGGTAGACTAGCCGGCGCTACTTGAGGCGCCTGATCGGTAGACTAGCCCGCAGAGCACGAGACGCCTGATGGTAGACTAACCCGCACTACACTGGCGCTTGATCGGTAGACTATCCCGCACTACACAGGCGCCTGAACGGTAGACTGTCCCGCACAGCACGAGACGCCTGATAGTTAGACTAACCCGCACTATACAGGCGCCTGATCGGTAGACTATCCCGCAATACACAGGCGCCTGAACGGTAGACTGTCCCGCACAGCACGAGACGCCTGAAAGTTAGACTTACCCGCACTATACAGGCGCCTGATCGGTAGACTATCCCGTACTACATACACAGGCGCCTGATAGGTAGACTAGCCCGCACAGCACAGACTGCTAACAGTTGAACGGTAGACTATCACGCACAAGCCTGACAAAGGCATCTTAAAGGAAGATATCGTCATGTTTTACAGTGGTGTTATCATGCACACAGTATACCAGAAGCTGTATTTTAAACAATCGAATGTCAGGGAACCATACGCAGAATTGTTGTTGGACGCCGTCCCCGCCTCCCATTGGATTACCTCTCGGGGATCCGCCGCTCAGATGCGTGCGGCGAAGGGTAGCAGGTGGCACGGGCACTAAAGCCAGTGGCGGTCGCAGGGGGGGGGCCATCAGGGCCATGGCCCCCCCCAAAGGCAAATCAGGGGGGGGGGCCATCATATCATTTGCCCCCCCCCCAAACAACCGATGGGCCCCCATGGCCGTATGGGCCCTGGCCCGTATTCGATTGTCACGAGGCTCGAGAAACCCACGCCAGCTATTAACAGCTCCCATACCAGTCTTTGAGGGTCCTACACTGACGTTTGAGGGCCCTTCAGTGGCGGTCAAGCGTCCACATTGACCGCTGAGGACCCAAATTGACCTCTGAGGGCCCTCCACTGGCCTTTGAGGGCCCCTAAACCGGTCTCAGGGGCCCAACCGGCGTCTCAGAGCCTCATTCCGGCCTCTGATGGCCTCATTTCTGTCTCTCGAGTCCCAAGACCAGCCTTTAAGTGTCTCTGAGGGCCCCGCACTGGATTCTGAAGACCCGATGTTGGTCTCTAAGAGCCCGCATCGGCCTCTGGGGGCCCATCTTGGCCTTTGAGGGCCCTCCGCTGGTCTCTGGGGTCCAACGCCGGCCCATGCCAGTCTTTTAGGGCCCCACACTGACCTCTGAGGGCCCCATGCTGGCCTGTAAGGACACACATTAGCCTCTATGGGCCCCGCACTGAATTCTGAAGACCCGATGCCGGCCTCTAAGGGCCCGAATCGGCCTCTGAGGGCCCATCTTGACTTTTGAGGGCCCTCTACTGGCCTCTGGGGTATAACGCCGGCAAATGCCAGTCTTTTAGGGTCCCATTCTGACCTTTGAGGGCCCCATACTGGCCTGTAAGGGCCCACATTAGCCTCTGAGGGCCCCCGCACTGGATTCTGAAGACCCGATGCCGGCCTCTAAGGGTCAGCATCGGCTTCTGAGGACCCATCTTGGCCTTTGAGGGCCTTCTGTTGGCCTCTGGGGTCCAACGCCGGCCCATGCCGGTCTTTTAGGGTCCCACACTGACCTCGTGACAGCTCGTGCTGGCCTGTAAGTACCCACCTTAGCCTCTGAGGAGTGAGGACCCCGCACGAGCTTCTAAAGACCCGATGCCGGTCTGTAAGGGCCCGCATCGGCCTCTGAGGGCCCATCTTGGCCTTTAAGGGCCCTCTACTGGCCTCTGGGGTCCAACGCCGGCCCATGTCGGTCTTTTAGGGCACCACGCTAACCTCTGAGGGCTCCATGCTGGCCTGTAAGGACCCACATTTTCCTCTGAGTGCCCAATTCGGTCTCTGATGGTCTCAAACTGCCTTTTGCAGGCCCTGTACTGGTCTCTGAGGGCCCTAAACTGGCCCCTAAGGGCCCAAACCAGCCTAGGTCCCACACCGGCCTCTGATGGTCCCATTTCTGTCTCTGGGACCCAAACTGACCCTTATGTGCCTCTGAGGACCCCGTACTGGCTTCTGAAGGATCGATGCCGGCTTCTGAGGACCCATAACGCCGACACCTCAGGCCCCACACTAGCCTCTGAGGTCTCTACACCGGCCACTGATGGCCGTATTATGTTCTCTGGGGGGCTCAAGCCTTACCTTCGGGGGTCACGC